TGGTGTGTTTGAAATATAATAGGTATGTAGGTAAGAATTTAAGTTATCTCAGAAAAACTATAAACAAAGAAAAAGTGAGAATGGTTCGAATTCATCAAACAGTACAGAGTTTGATAAGGAAACATAATGCGACACCATAAACAATATCCAAGATAAAAGCCATTTGTTAGAACAAATTCAATCACAAGTGATTTTTTCATTTCTTGGAAAACATAGGCTGCTTTTGAGAAACTTAGGTCATAAGAGAGAAAAAGCATCTGCAGTGACTCCCTAGGAATAAAGGAGGTCACATTAAGAGAATAGGTAAGAAAGGGCAGTCCTAGTACTAGTAGTCTGTCAATGCCTTCTTTGCAAATCCATAAGTTCAAATTAGATGGTCAGAACTAAGTGGGTCAATAAATATGAGCTTACCTCGAAGTTTCCTTCTCTTCAATAGCAGCACCATAACCAATAAAGAAACTATGACCAATACTCCTCCAAGAGATGATGCTATTATTACAACCAAAGAAACCTTTTGATGTCTTTTGTGTACGCTCAATTTGCTATCTCCACTCTGAACACATGAATTGGATAAACATAGCCTTGGATTGCCTTCTATACTACATATATAAAGTTTGCAAATCAATCAGTTGGCTAATACCATAAACATCTTGATGAGGGAAAGGAAAAATTTGTTGGATTCATAGCTAACCTCAAAAAAAGGGACCCGCTGTTATTCTTATCTAGTAAAGCCCTTGGAACTGGCCCACTTAAGTTGTTGTCCCTTAAATCGCTGCAAATAGAACTCGATGGGCTTAAAAAACTCTTATTTGTTGTTACATTTGATAATCTAGCTAGAGATATGGTATTCGTACTTACAGTGATACCAGGTTAGGTAGATCAGCTAAAAATTCAGGTATTGCACCGTTAAGGCTATTGTTTGCTAAATTCCTGAACAAGCAGAAACCATGAATAAATAAAAAATCTAAATATCTAGGTAAAGGAATTTAATTTCTTTGTATGTTGTACTTATTCTAGTGTAGTTATGTTGTAAATTTACTTTTAAGTGTCTGAAATGAAAGAACTGAAAGAATAATTGATTCTCCTTAATAAAATACGAAGGGTAAATCACCCTACATTCGAGTCTAGAAAGGACAAGAATATCCCTCCAGGTAGAATGCAACTAAGACTGATCGCCAACCAAATAATTAAAAATATGTTTACAATGCTTTTAACGAACTTCAAACTTGAGCAGCTAAAGAAGCAATGGCAGACGCACTCGCTAAAGAAGCAGCTCGGCAACACAACTAAATGGAAGTAGTGTGTAAATGGGCAAAATTATAAGCCCCTACCATGCAATCCTTTTTAGTCCGCCATTGTAATTGGGAATTTCCATAAGCCCTACTCACTTCCCTCTCCTACTAATCCTTCTTCTTATTTTCGTAGGGCAGGTTTCTTTGTGGTCCTCCTCTCAGGGACCACATTTTTACTGAGGTCCATACTCTATGGACCTCACGGTATTGATGTAACTCACTTGTTATTTAAGGTTAGTTAACTTCCCTACAAAAAAACACAAACTTCAAACTTGGGCGTCCACACATATGATCAACAATTTGTTCACTAAGTACTCATAGTTTTATGTGGTTGGACCACGGGGCCCCTCACGTGTGCGGCCCACTAGGTTTCATGTGGAGCCCACGTGGGCCACACGCCCCTCTTGGTGGGATTCCCAAATATTTCCTGTTTAGATGGGATTTATTTGTGGTATAATATTCTATAAAAAGATTTAGTTAGTTGAAAATATTTCGAAATAATTTTTGTGAAAGATTTAAGGGAATCTAGATTTTGATCATTATTTTATTTTTTAATTATCCATATGTGATAATAGGAAATCTAGAATAATCTAATTACTCTAGATTCTATAGAATGTTTCTAGAAGATAAAGATTACGATGAGACAAAACCTAGATTATTTAGAAGTGGGTATAGGTCAAATCTCAAGAGATAAAGTTCTTAAAGATTCACTCGCGATCATGATGGCTGATCTTGGAGATGAATGGCCTGGATTAAATCTTCTTTCACCTCACATATCTCCTAAAAATCCTAGATAATGTTGAACTCCTAATCTCACTGGAACTCCCTAAGCCCTAGAGGATAAATAAGGGGGATCTCCCTGTCATTCAACGCATCAAATCTCTCCCCTCTCTCTTTCCTCTCCATGTCATTCTCTGTCTCTCATGCTCTCTCTATCTCTCTCTCTCTCTCTCTCTCTCTCTCTTAAAAGGGGCACGCCATGCTCCCTAATTGCCTAGGGAGGTACACCAGCATAAAGAAGAGAGAACAAGAGGGGGCACACTTGCCCTTAGCTTTAGTTTTAGGTGAGGTGCTAATCATGGCATATGTCGCAAGGTTAAAAACGGGGTTTTTTGTGAAACCCTAATTATAACCTTGACTCTCTTGCCATATAAGTTTAAGAAAGGGAGTCCTTGAAGTGCTTCTCATTTCATATTAGTGGATTCAATAGGTTTCAGGATCAAAGTGCATCATTGGTCAGGTGATTGGATGTGGGATGTGCTATGCCTTAAGGGGGCCAACCCTTGGCAAATGTCAATTAGTCTTCCCATATTTATTTAATATTTTTTTACCGTTGTTCTTGTTTTATTTATTTCATAGAATTGCTAAGTTTGTATTCAGTTTAAATAAATTTCATTTTGGCAGTACGTTATTAAGATCCCAGACCATAGAAAGATCTATTCTATACCATTTGTGACACCTGTAAGCAGAATTTCCATCAATTAATAAAAAAATGATTTTTTTTATTTGAATTTAGAGCCTGAAATTCTACATTGCCAATTCTTCTAATGGGATGGATGAGTTGGATTTAATCATCTCTCATCTCATAGATTTTCTAAAATCCTATTGGTCATGATGAGTCATAATTAGATAGGCATTACCTAAAACGAGATTGAGGCCTCTATAAGGAGGGGGACCCCCTTCATTCTATACACAATTTCCAAG